GGCATTTAGCAATCGCTAGACACACTCGGAGTGCTCATGGTCTAATGCATCGTGAGCCTCTTCTCATCATATTCCCTGATATGCAAGTATTTTATCATTAGTATGATTTTTAATTTGAAAACGACTATTCAAAAGTTGAGAAAAATAGCCTTCTTCAAAATTTCCTGTGCCACACTTTTCCCTGTGCGTATCTTGGAGAAACGCAGCCTACATTACCAGAAAACAATTGTTTTGATTTTTAAAATCGTCCCCAGAATTCTACCTATCTGAGGATGAAATAATACCATCCGCTGCCTTATACGTAAAAAGAACGTTTTTATCTTCTTATAAGGGATGCATAGCTGTATTTCTATATAATGAAATGATTTTCATTGTTTTCTACTTTTCAAATGTCTTTTTCCTATTTTATGTAAAGGGGTTAAAGAATACAATGAAAAACTTCTAAGTTTGCAAGACTACCTCTACTATTCTTGCATTACCTTTTTTATTTCAAAAATTCTCTATTTTTCTACAGAAATAAACTTCATGTGCTACTAAGTGCTTGTTATATATATAATAAATAAAATGTACAAAAGAAAGGGGAGATTATTATTTTGCTGAAGTAATTGCATAATCAGTAAGTTACAGTTTACAGCATTCATTATGGTTACTAACATTTAAGGCAGATAAGTTCAAGAATCTTATCCAGTAGCACAGCAGTTGCTTATGGCATGAGAAGTTAAAATTAATTCAGCTATTTAATCTTAACAATAACAATATAGTTAACAATCTTTGACATCAACAGCTTATCAGATAAGCTGTTGAATTTTTAAAGTAACATTTCTATAAATTTAATCTAATGGTCAGAGGAAGAAAATATTGTTAATATAATAAGACCAGAATTTGTAATTATTGCTATTTTTCATTTTTAATAACAAAGTAAAATGTCTTATTTTCTAAGAAAATGAGGAATATCGATGTATTTTAACACATACGTGAATCTTTGTACAAGTACTTTTCAGCTGCATCAATATTTGCTGCGCGTGTATTGCAGGAAACACTAATTACTCAGGGTTTCCATGTGCTGTTTTGCCTTTGTAAATAGACTGCACGAGGAACACGGAGTGTGTTTATCATCTGAAAGGGCACCTAATAGACGTGGGGCTCCGTGACAGACTGGCACTCACTTCGTAGCCCGTGCTGAAAATGATGATCCCGTGTCTCCCTATTATGGAAAGTAATTGTTACACTCTCTAATATGGTCTCCTGCCATCTGCTTCTCCATGCTTTTTTGGCTTTGATTTATGGAAAATATTTATCAGGATGCTGCAAAATTGCTAACAGGCATAACAGTAGCAGTGAGATCACTAAGAAACTCTGAAACATCTTTTAATATACTTGGATGTTCCCCAGACATTCTAGGATAAATAGAATACTGCATTCTAATATGTAAAACCGTTTAAAGCTGCTAATTGGTATTGACTAGGTTTATCCCTTGATAATGAAATTAATAAGAATTTCAGCTGTGCTACGACTTTCTAATATTTAATACCATGGTTATGGGTTCTTTTTTGCATACCTGCACTAAACTTAATAAAACAAACCTGCTCTGAGGTAAGTATAGACAATAGTATTCTATGTTTAAGTACAGGTTCGTTGCTTTCTACCAAATGGATACCATATGAAAAGATATTGCAAAGTCCCATCAATACCAATAACATTGATCACTATGCTTTCTGTGTGGGAGGAATAACCAATA